ATATTAGATGTAAATTGCTGAAAGGCACATTGAGCTCATAAACTGCCATCACCTTGGCTTCCAGGCTGCCATCATTGGGAACTTGGATCACTTTCACGACCTTGCAATCCTCCTTGACTGCCCAGATGTTCTTCTGGCAGCTCACACCACGGAACACAGACTTGCTATCGCTGGAAGAAGCGTTCGTCAGCTGGAGTGCCTCCCATGAGTTGTTGCCACTGTCATATCTCTGCAACGTGTTGGCATCGTAGATCCGGTTGCCATGGACAATACAGCAGCACCCGCGCAATCTAGTCATGTCCGCCACTTCCCAGGAATGATCTTGTGCTGAGAAAACAAGCGTCTCTCCATTACCAGCGCGCAAGATAACCATCTTGTAACCATCCACGACGAGAGCGTTGCGAAAGGCCATGGTCCCATGCGGTGGCAATGGCGGGAGGGGATACCATCGGTCCTCCAGCGGATTGTATGTCTCAGCGTCCTGTTCCTGCCGCTCACGGTTGCCACCAACGACGTAGAGCTGACCCTCCATAGCCGCGGACGCATAGAAGAATCGAGGACACAGCATTGGCGCTGCGGTGCTCCATCGATTCGTGTGTGAATCGAAGACGCTCAGTGATTTCCCCTGGCCTAATCCGAGAAGATAGAGCTTGCTGCCGAGGGCCCTGCAATCGAATCCCCCAGTGGCGTAGAAGCCCCGCGGTGGAGGAGGAAGAACCATCCACGCTTTCTTGGAGCTACTGGGATTGAACGTCATGATCAAAAGCTCGTCCTCTTGCCTGAGGATCACCGTGGCGACAAGCCATTCCTCGTCCAACCCCTGTGCAGCGCGATCATCGTAGAACTTGGCGCTGGAGACGAGATCCCTCCACGCTCGGCTCATCTTGCGCATCTGCCCATGAGATGAGAGGGACACTCGCAGGAGGCACTGGTAAGCGGCATCGCTGTCCAGGCCGGGGATGATTGTCGTCGCCATAGCCCAGCTCTATTTGCCCTAACTCCAGATCCAAGCAGCCCTTTATACGCAGAGCAGGGATATGCCCCGGTTGGGCATCTTGACGAGCCAACGTTTCTTTTTCCTTGGCGTCGCTGGCTGCGAGGAATTTGTCGCTTGCCTCTTATGTGATTCCGTAGTCGCTATGATGATCACTGCCTCTTCGGGGGCGAGACATGCATCACGACAGCCAAGTCTTCTTTAGGATGCCCCAGTGCGATGACGGTTTAGTCTCTACGTGTTCTACCAACGCCGCGATGCCCACAATGGGGATATGGAGCAAGGACTGCATTGTTTGATAGGATACTCATCAAGGACGAGAGAATCGCCAGATATCTTTAACATGCATGGAATCCCTCGAGATTCCAGAAGAAGCCCACAAGAAAATGAAACAAGAACCTGAAGTGTGTCTGGAAGACATCTGGAACGAGTTTTTCTTCCCACTTTGCAGGCAAGTATCTGGACAAGACAAACCATCGATCAAGCTGCTTGAATCAAAACAGAGCAAACTCCAAACCAAGGTGGCAACTGACAAGAAGTTCATTCCCGCGTTTGCTTCCCACACACAAGGCAGTCACAACAAGCTAAGCTGTTTGACATCACAGCACTGCAAGAAAACGATTACAAGCTCGATCACTCACCTGAGCTGGCGGAGCGTCCTGGGGTGACACACTGCGTTGCCGCTTCCCTACAACCCGAATCAAGCTCTCGCGGCCCTGGAGCATTGTAATGCCGCCTTAGCGGACCGGCCGCTTCCTCCTCGCCCTCCCAATACATCTCAACCGTACTCACACAGAAAAAAACCATTTCATAGAACTTTTCATCTGCAAACACGACATCCTTGTAGATAACTTATTCATCTTTAAATAGTAGCTCATCTAAGCTCGAAGAATCTGAACGGCGAAGCTTATGGGATTGACGCTGGATGCTTGGTTCCAAGCCGGATCAACGTCACAGCCTTGCAATTCGCCGAGACTGCCCAGATGTTCTTCTGGCAGTTCACAGCGCGGAAGAAAAACTTGTGATCGGTGGAAGAAGCGGTCGTCCTTCCATAAGTTCTTGCCAACACAATGATCCGGCCATGTCGTTCCATAGGTGCACAAAGTAGTGACGCCGGGGCAATCCAGTCGCCACTTCCCAGGAAAGATCTTGGGCTGCGAAAACAAGCGTCTGTCCGGCACCACCGGGCGAGCTCAAGATCACCTGGTTGTGAAAAGATTTCGTTTCCTGCGGTGCAGAACGCAGCATTGGTGCTGCGAAGCTCCATCGATTCTTGCGTGCATCGAAGACGCTCACCGAATTGCAAGGAGATAGAGCTTGGGACCCAGAGCCCTGCACTCGAATCCTCCCGTGTTGGGCTCATCCTGGCGAGCAAGTACCGGCAATGAACATTCTGCTATCGCATATGCCCATTTTGGGCATCTTGACGAGGCGATCAAGGTTTTCCACTCTCGGAACATCCTATTACGGGTCCTTTGCAAAGAAAATCGCGTTGCTGATGCGAGGAAAGCCAGGACGTGGTGACCTGGACGACAATAGTGAGCAAATATGCTCCGATTGGGCATCATGATGAGACAAATGCCGCAACAAGCTCGGGCCGAGACATGTATCACGCCAGCCAAATCTTCTTTGGGATGCCCCAGTGCGATGATGGTTTAGTCTCTACGTGTTCTCCCAACGGACTCCATGCCCACAATGGGGATATGGAGCAAGCAACTGCATTGTTCGATAGGATACTCATCAAGGATGACAGAGTCGCGGGGGATGTTCTTTAAGGTGCATGGAATCCCTCGTGATTCATCTCTTTGGGACTCGCATTTCCTGATCCTCCGCCGAGAGGATCTTTAAGATGACGGTGGAGGCCGAGTGGTGATTCTATCACATCGCGGTCCCGATCGAAGAGCTCTTGAGACGGTGACACTGAGGACTTGGAACTGGCTGTGTGTAGCGGCAATGGATTCTTCGCAGTCCACAGCGGGATGGGGCGGAGTTGCTTACGACTTCAAGCAAGGCGGAACAAGTTGCAGAGGCCTGCGCAGCCGTCTCGGGGCCGGCACTACTCGGAGTAGCCGATCTAGGATCGATCATTCATCGTCTTGGAGACCTTGCAAAGTTCCACTGGAACATTAGCGTCCGAGAGAATAAGAAACCAGGCCACCTGTTGCTCGGACAAGCGATCCCCTGGACCCTTGACTTCCGCCAGCTTTGCCTCTTTCTCCTTCCACAGCAGAAGATCAGGCATTCCAGCCGTCCAGTTACTGTGGTCTTCTGCAAGAAGCTTGCAAATCGCCGACAATCCTGGATCTCCGATACAGACCGCTATCGTTTGAAGGTCTTCAAGCAAGTACTTCTCCCAGTTTACCCCGCTACATGATGTCCCGTAGTGCTCTGCCCAAGTCTCAGCCACGAGTTGCCTAGCTCCGGCATCGCGTATGGCTTGAAGACGAGATTCAATAAGCGAGCTTCGGACTGGATAGAATGAATCCGTGCACAAGTCCAATGGTGCAGTCTGCAAACAAGAACTGTAGAGCAACCACGAGAAAATGAAACAAGAACCTGAAAAGGTGTCTGGAAGACATCTGGAACGTCTGAAAAGATAACATCCCACATGAGCAGCCCGAACAATGTCAGCCATATGCCACTTTCTGAATGGACTCCTTTCCAGCCGCCTCCATCTTCTCCGGCATAGTATTGAAGTGCCAGGTCCTCCACACTGCATTGTTGCCCATCGTAGCCATAAATCTGCTCTTCATTCCATTGGCATTGTTTAGCGGCATTCCCATAATCGTCACCTTCAGAGACAATTGTAGCTGAAGGCCAAATATCTGGAAGACACAGTACGTACCACCTTGTGTTTTGTCTTTAAAAGCGCTGCATATGGAGGTACTTTCCACCTTCTAGGAGGTTTTCCTAGTCGGAGAACCTCCGTTGCAAAGCGATACGATCCCCTCCTCGGACGTTGAAATCGTTTAATCCGTTTTCTGCAACGAGCAGGCTCTCTTCTAAACGCTGTAAGTGCTCCAAGTCAATAGATAGCCGGAGAGTCAGTATCCTCTCCGTCCAGGACAATACTGCATGCTAAGGAGCTGCTTGAAGAGGTTTACAGCTTCAGCGTATCTGGTCAAGAGCCAGCTTTCGTTCAAAAGCATTGTCCGCCATTGGTGAAAGAGCGTACCTGCGTTCTTTCTCCAGAAACGATGCAGCCACAGTACAGATTGTTGCATACACCCATGCAGCCGAAAATCGTGCTAAAAATGGATGCTTGATCTCGGTGTGCGCATTGATCAATTCGAGAGTAGTCCTTGCTTTTCGAAAAGAGGAGTTTAGAGCCTCAGAATTACCAGCTTCCAGGGACATGTCAACCACCTGAGCCAATTGCAATGCCTGAAAACTTGACGGTCAGACAAATTTTATAACAAAGTAGGAACGGACCTGCTCATACGCCAGAAAGTCCTCTCGAGAAGCAAAGACTGGCATTGTTCTAGCGCACCTATAGCTTGGATACTTGATCCTTCCAATATCCACAAGAAGAAAAACATCGAACTCCTGCTCACCGTTTAGAAAGAACAGCCTCTGAATAAATAAATAAATAAATAAATAGATAAATTGCTCAGCATCAGCAGTGTAACACTTTGGAGAGGATGTCACTGACCTGTAAACGCCAAAGCAGAAATTCAACTGTTTCGGCTATTCGAATGCATGGCCCGGTTGCTTCACGAATTAAAGCCGTTAGATTACTGCCGCCAAGTATTTCACGCTTGTATAACGAACCAATGATCACTTGCTACTTACAAATGCAGCGAAATCAATGCATCTCGAATTACTGTAATAAGCTGAATCTTTTTCAAACTTAGCGTAGCACTTTTGATCTGTAAGCAGGAACAGAAATAAAAACAAGGAAGAAAGTCTTAGAAGTAACTACCATGATTTTGCTGTTCACTGCCAAATCTTTGAGCTATTGTACAGTCAGATGTTCAAGCAACTCAGACGAATTGACGTCCGCGTCGAAAACTAAGTAGCGTCTCTCTGTTACAAGGGAGCAAACATATTATGAAGTACACGATGAAAGAAACTGAGTACCGACTAACTCATGGACTGCAGAATTTGTGTCACCAATATCTTCATAGAAGATGTTCTGAAGACGGAACCATGGCCCTGCAAAACCACTGTCTCCCTTGAGTCACAGTTTGTGCGACGGCGTCGACGGCGTTGAGCCAATCTTAGCAAAAGGCGCTGTCCATCAGACGAGATTGAACGAAATGCCTCGAGAAGTTCGATCTCGTCTGGAGTAAAGAGATGGAGATCCTGTTCCAATACAACTTGGAGCATGTAGAGAAAATTCTGTTGGTATCGACAGCCGTGGTCTTGTCCCTTGTCAGCTGCATCCATCAGACGGCTCCATTTGACAGCCAGCACTTTTTCTTCTGAGAGACTTCCAATAGTCCGACTCTGGATCTCACGGAAATCAAGCTTGAGGCGTGCAGCTTCCGATGTACTCTCAGAGACATATCCCTGAAAGCTTTGTGAACAATTGAAAAACGCCCCAGAGATTAATTACCTGAACATCTACCACGGCTTTGTCCATGAGAGGAGACAAATAACGCGAAAGCTCTTTTGGAATATGTCCCAGCGAAAGCCCATCCGCTGTAACCACCTGGCGCAATGTTGCTGTCAGCCATGAAACACGTCCATTCAGTCAAGTTTACCTTCACAGCGTATGTATCCATGGGATTTTCTGGTTCCCTTACCAGGTGAACTCGCATCCCAGCTTGGCACTCGACGTCTCTGTGGTACTTGCGGCCAGCAATCCTTGCCTCCAGGCAGCCATTGTAAAGATCTCTAGTTTCACTGTTGAGCTCTGCCGGAAGGACGCCGTTGGCCACGTCGGGCTCCTCAAAGCTTTCAAGAGTAGAAGACACTTCCGGTTTCGGAGACCCTGCCGCCGGGTTACAGTCGACCCCAGTCTCGAGCGGAGGAGACTGCTGGATTTCCAGTACGCAGTTTCCGCTTTCCTCGTACTCTATCTTTTTCGACAAGTTGAAGTGAAAGAGTGTATGCTGGACACTGTTCTTCTTTTTCTTCCCACTTTGCAGGCAAGTATCTGGACAAGAGAAACCATCGAATCAAAACAGAGCAAAATCCAAACCAAGATGGCAGTTGACGAGAAGTTCATTCCCGCGTATTTGCTTCCCACACACAGGGCATTCCACCCAGTCACAACAAGCTAAGCTCAGGCCTCCTTTTATTTCCAGCGAAACATCACCGCACTCCAACTCTTCCTGCAGGAAAACGATCACAGATCCACCCAAGAAATAGAAGCTCGATCACTCACCCGAGCCGGGAGTGACACATTGCGCTGCCGCTTCCCAGAATCAAGCTCTCACAGCCCCGGAGCATTGCTGAGATTACCGCATGGAACACCGCCGAGCTGTGTGTAGGACGCTTCCTCTTCGCAGACCTAAACCCTAGCCAAATAAAATATTTCCCTCCATTCCTTTGAATTCACTAGGGCAAAAGCTTATGATTAAGTGCACATGATTGAATTATAAAATAGATGCCTTCAAAGTTTGGTCACCTGTATTACAAGCAAACACAAAGAGATCTTCTTAGCGTGCTTCGACCAAGGGGAGAAGTTAATATGTACACGGCACTTCAAGACTATGAAGTCAATATAAATCGCAATCCCACTCCTCAAGGCTATAAAAACAGCCCCAAAATTTCATTGCACAACCACGAGTTCTCATCCATGGCATTAGTCATGATAATGTTTATGCTATGCCTCCTAGGATTTTCTCCGTTCTCTACACTGGCATCTCCCTCTAGTATTATAACTGTGTCTGTGTTTAGGAAGTTCTTCCCATCCAACATCGCGAATCCTTTCTACACATACAACAATTTCATTGCGGCAACAAAATACTATCCCACGTTTGGAAGCTCGGGGAGTCTTGATGTTCAAAAGAGGGAACTGGCTGCCTACTTTGCAAATGTGAAGCAGGAGACTGGAAGTAAACTCGCTTAGTATTTATCCATTAATCTCACTAATGTCTTTGATTGTAGCACTGCAATACATTCGAGAGATCAACCGAAACAACGTCTATTGTGACACTAGTCGTGGAATCCCATGTCCTGCAGGTACAAAGGCTTACTATGGAAGAGGACCTTTGCAGCTCACTTGGTAAGCTGAAAATGTTATATTCAATATTTAAAGTGTATATATACAGGAATTACAATTACGATGCTGCTGGAAAGGCTTTCAACATGAACCTCCTCCAAAATCCAGACCAGGTTGCTCAGAATGGCGTCCTTTCGTGGAGGTCATCAGTGTGGTTTTGGATGCAAAATTCGAATTGCCACACTGCAATAACACAGAACCAAGGATTTGGAGCTACAATTCGAGCCATCAATGGAGGTCAGGAGTGTGGCAAGGGCAGTGAGACACAACCCGCACAGAACCGCATCAATTATTACAAGGACTTTTGCTCACAGTTGGGTGTTTCACCAGGTGGGAACCTTGGCTGTGCTTAAACAAATGTTTTTAAAAGTAATGAATAAGTAATTAACTACTGAATAAAAACAAATAATAAATCTGGAAATTGCAAGTTGTTTGAAGCCCTCGATCAACACATGCACCGCAAGCAAGCAAACCACTTCCCAACACCAACAGCATCTTCTCAAGCAAGACTCCTTCATATACACCCGGGGAGCGATCAAGAAGGAGTTCTATGAGCATTTAAACCACCAGCTGGATACTCAGCTTGAAGAGATGAAGCAGATCTGCATTGACCTCCGGGACATCAGGAAGATCGTCTCCAAGTAGCCATCAACCCCATCAGCAGCTCACAAATTCACCTACAAATTCAAATACAAAGAGCTCAACACCTGCTACTGGAAGCTCGAGGATGATTATACTGCCCTCCTCGCTGAGATAGCCGACCTCCAGGAAGATGGGACAGATCCACCAGACAGTGTCCCTAACCATGAGCTTACACTCCCACAGCAAAAACATCGCCTCCATTGATTTGAGCAACAGCAGCAACAAGCAATGGAGATTGACTATGTTCACACTAAAGACAATATTTAGTTCTGTTAGGGGAGCAGAATGTATCAACCAAAAACCCAGGTTCAGGGGACTTTAACCTTGAACCCAAGGCTGTATTGGAGCTATAGATTAAATCATGCACAACATATAATATATGTTAGCAATTAGAACCACTAACCTTTCAAAAGGGGAATCCAAATTGTGGATCTTTATTTCCATTCCATCATTTTTCTTATCAATACACAACATTCTTTTATTTGTGCTTCTTCTTAGCCCTTGGAGATCAGGCTCTTTTCTCTTTTGTTTTCTTACTAACAATAGATTTCTAGTGAAGAGGAGTTTCCACACCTCTTCAAGGACATGGCACTTCAATACTATGCTGGAGAAGATGGAAGTGGCTGGAAAGGAGTCCATTCAGAAAGTGGCATATGGCTGACATTATTCGGGCTACTCATGTGGGATGTTATCTTTTCAGACAATCCAGATGTCTTCCAGACACCTTTTCAGGTTCTTGTTTCATTTTCTCGTGGTTGCTCTACAGTTCTTGTTTGCAGACTGCACCATTGGACTGGTGCACGGATTCTTTCTATCCAGTCCAAAGCTCGCTTATTGAATCTCTTCTTCAAGCCATACGCGATGGCGGAGCTAGGCAACTCGTGGCTGAGACTTGGGCAGAGCACTACGGGACATCATGTAGTGGGGTAAACTGGGAGAAGTACTCGCTTGAAGACCTTCAACCAGTAACGGTCTGTATCGGAGGTCCAGATTGTCGGCGATTTGCAAGCTTCTTGCAGAAGACCATAGTAACTGGACGGCTGGAATGCCTGATCTTCTGCTGTGGAAGGAGGAAGAGGCAAAGCTGGCAGAAGTCAAGGGTCCAGGGGATCACTTGTCTCAGCAACAGGTGGCCTGGTTTCTTATTCTCTCAGACGCTAATGTTCCAGTGGAACTTTGCAAGGTCTCCAAGACGATGAATGATCGATCCCAGATGGCTACTCCGAGTAGTGCCGGGACCGAGATGGCCATTCCATCCCGCTGTGGACTGCGAAGAATCCATTGCGCGCTACACACAGCCAGTTCCAAGTCCTCAGTGTCACCGTCTCAAGAGCTCTTCGATCAGGACCACGAGGTGATAGAATCACCACTCGGCCTCCACCGTCATCTTAAAGATCCTCTCGGCAGAGGATCAGGAAATGCGAGTTCCAAAGAGATGAATCACGAGGGATTCCATGCACCTTAAAGAACATCCCCCGCGACTCTGTCATCCTTGATGAGTATCCTATCGAACAATGCAGTTGCTTGCTCCATATCCCCATTGTGGGCATGGAGTCCGTTGGGAGAACACGTAGAGACTAAACCATCATCGCACTGGGGCATCCCAAAGAAGATTTGGCTGGCGTGATGCATGTCTCGGCCCGAGCCAAGCCCGAAGAGCTCGTTGCGGCATTTGCCTCGTCATGACGCCCAATCGGGGCATATATGCTCACTATTGTCGTCCAGGTCACCACGTCCTGGCTTTCCTCGCATCAGCAACGCGATTTTCTTCGCAAAGAACCCGTAATAGTGGAAAACCTTGATCGCCTCGTCAAGATGCCCAAAGTGGGGATATGTGATAGCAGAATGCGCATTGCCGGTACTTGCTCGGGATGAGCCCAACACGGGAGGATTCGAGTGCAGGGCTCTGGGTCCCAAGCTCTATCTCCTTGCAAATCGGTGAGCGCCTTCGATGCACGCAAGGATCGAAGCAAGCATCCAGCGTCAATCCCATAAGCTTCGCCCTTCAGATTCTTCGAGCTTAGATGAGCTACTAGCGGATGAATAAGTTATCTACTAGGATGTCGTGTTTGCAGATGAAAAGTTCTCTATGAAATGTTTTTACTGGGAAATATTTCTGTGTGCGTACGGTTGAGGTCTTATCCCACACACAGGGCGAGGAGGAAGCGGCCTGTCCGTTAAGGCGGCATTACAATGCTCCAGGGCCGCGAGAGCTTGATTCGGGTTGTAGGGAAGCGCCAGGACGCTCCGCCAGCCCAGGTGAGTGATCGAGCTTGTAATCGTTTTCTTGCAGTGCTGTGATGTCCAACAGCTTAGCTTGTTGTGACTTCCCTGTGTGTGGGAAGCAAATACGCGGGAATGAACTTCTCGTCAACTGCCATCTTGGTTTGGATTTTGCTCTGACGAAAAATGTCCAGCATACACTCGTTTCAGATGTCTTCCAGACACACTTCAGGTTCTTGTTTCATTTTCTTGTGGGCTTCTTCTGCTCTTCTTGTTTGCGCGTTGCAAGAGGCTCTTTGTGTTGAAAAAACCTTGTTTTGTGTTATTTTGCAGAGACTGCACCATTGGACTTGTGCATGGATTTCTTTCTATCCAGTCCGAAGCTCGCTTATTGAATCTCCTTTTCAAGCCATATGCGATGGTGGAGCTAGGCAACTCGTCGTGGAAGTACTCTGGGAGGGTTAACTGGGAGAATGAAGACCTCCACACAATTACGGGATTGTCAGTGATTCATATGCTTCTTGCAGAAGACCAAGGAGGGCAAAACTGGTCGAAGCCAAGGGTCCGGGATATTGCTTGTCCGAGCAACAGGTGGCCTGGTTTCTTATTCTCTCGGATGCCAGGGAGCTGGACCTGGCATGCTATGCATGAGCTCCTCGGCCTCCAGACTTGGTGAGAACGTCCACAAGGCAATGGTTGAGATAGAATGACTCACTTGTAGCGCTATGCCTCGTGGAACATCGCTCACCTTAAAGGAAGGATTGTGTTCCAAGGAATCTGCTTTAGATTGGAAGATGAAGGGCTGAATGTTTCCATTGGAATCTAATGATTGAGAAGATCTTCTTTCAAATAGATGTGATACGAACTCACTTCTGGTTTCTGTTTTTTCTCTTGCAGGCATAGTCATAACTGGTGGCATTTAGAGCTTTGTCATCTAGAGGGTGGTCCAGCTGAAAACGTGCTACGCATATTTGACACCCGTATATGGGGAGACCGCGAAAGAGCTGAAAGGGATACATTTGCGGTAAGCTCTCTTAACAGAAAAACCCAACACTAAGTAATCAATAATGTGCAGGTGAGCTTAAACGCGTTGGAATTTTTGCTGTGTCTTCAAGTAAACAGATTTGGAGATCACATCATGAAGCTCTTGGTGGACAAGGTACGTGGGCTGGCGGCGATTTTTGAACTTATATTTTCCTTACTTTTGTGTTTAGTCCACATGATTTTCTGGTCCTTTGGTCACTGGTTCGAAGCTCTTTATTGCAGAGGCCAAACAATTACTCTCATATTTGGATCAACGGTGAGAAATGTTGTCAAAGTGACCTCGCTCTGATTCTCATCAGAGCATAAACGATCGGTTCTACAGAGGGGATTCACCAAACGATAGTCTCAGTAATCAATGCTGATTTAGTTTGTGCTTGTGCTCTAAGTTGTGTTTGTTATTTTCGACCCGTCAGATTGCTTCGGCATTGTATGAGTATGGCTCTGGCAACGAAAGTGCTGTCTCTTCACTCTTGGGATCAAAATTTAGTGCTAGGGAGCTCAAGGTTTGCCTGTGTATTCATTGTCCTTGCTCTGCTCTCCCAGGTGATTGGAGCCTCGAATGAACAGATGAGAGTATTTGGACATCTGTGGGCAACAGCAAGCTCAAATCTGATGGTAACTTTGGTATGTACAGATTGATAATGGAATATTCACTATATAAGGATTATATTTTTAGAGCATATAGCAAATTGGTTACCAACAGGTTTATGTTTACTGTTGGTACCTACTCAGAGGCTGATCCAATCCCCGAGGGCAACATTTACAATCTGCCAGAACATATGACATAAACCACAGGAATATTCCAAAAATATTTCATGGCTTTAAGGCTATAACACATTAAGGTTTGGGAGGTTGGCCTAGGGTTCACTCCTCATTCATTTCATTAATATTGGAGTAACATGTTTTTTTGGGGATGGCAAATGAGTGGAATATAAAATCTTGATAAGGAGTATGGCATTAGTGATGACAATCATGACGATGAAGAAAAAACTCTTGATAGTGTAGTATAGTCACTAAATTATTGAGTTTCCGAATGTCATTAAGGAGGCTAAGGATTTCTTATTTCATATGGACCTTCAAAAGTTGAATCAGTATCATATCCATGATTACCATTGGTTCTAAGAAGTTGATTTTTGGTTGAAATTGTGGGAAAATTTATAGTCTCACAATCCTTGTGAGGATAAAGTGAAGATTTTTTTTTTTTTTATGACAAAACTGACAGGCCATGCTTTTTTGTGGTGGAAGAACTACATCAAAGCTAATTCTAAGCAAACTTCTTAAAGTGATTTGAAAAAGATTTTCTATGCTTCATTTGTCAAGAAATTTAAAGAGGTTGATCTCGTAAACTAGCTATTGAAGATCAGGCAAAACACTTTATTTTTGGATGCATATCACTTCCATGATCTTTGCTTTAATCTCATAGGTACTTCTAATGAACTGTTAAAGGTGCAATGTTTTATTAAAGGTTTGAACTCAATGGATGTGCACTAGAAAGTCAAGAAGGATTTTCTAAACACGTTTACTAATGCTATTATTAAGGCTTAAATCTTTTTGCCAAAACCGTTAATCAACTTTGGTCAACAGGATGGTCTATGGGGTAATCAACGTGATGATCAGCCTGCCAATGTTTCATATTCAGGGAAGAAATAGCAATTGCTATGTCATGGCTCAAAGTATAAAGATGTCAATGAGGCTAAGAAATTTCATTTGAACCAGGGAGAAACGAACAAGGTAAAAGGCAATTGTTTTCATTACCACAAAGCTGAACATCAAAGCAAAGATTGTTCTGAAAGGGTTAACAAATGCTAAAATGACTATAGTGGAATCTATAAATAATGATAAGCAATAATGTGTGTATTGTTCCACAAATTTGATATTATACAATGGAATTGACCTAGTTAAGATAAGGAGTTATATGTTGTGATTGTTGTTGTGAAGGAATGGCAACATTATTTGTATGAATTAGACTTCCATTAAAATAGTGAAAAGTTTTAAAAACTACTAAATATTCAGCACAGTTTTTTATTTATATTAATTCTACATTTATCAATATAACAATTATTGTGGATTCAAACTATCAGTCTCTCCAACATTTCAATCATTAAAAGGACCTTCAAGGCCACCTTACTCATTGGCAAGAGTTCTTGTAGGAAATGTCTGTTAAGATCCAGTATAAGTATAGAAGCAACAATAAAGTTGTAATGCATATGGTTTTCACCCTTTATCCTATTGTGATTTACTATAAAATAACCACAAAGCAGAATTTAAACCTTTTATATGCCACATGTCATATATCACGTGTCCAAGGATAATGGAGTAAAACCTAAGTTTCAAAGCCTTAGGCCATTGAATGAAAGAATGAAGCCAAACTCCTAAATATGAAGGTAAGGAGTGAAAGAACTGGAACACAGAGTGACTCTTGAGCGTATAACCCAAGGAGCGAAGGGATAAAAGCACGAAGTGACTTAAAATAGTTCTAAAACATTTAGCATCCTAATGCTAGAATCAGCACATAAACGGAGCCAAACGAAATTTAGCACTATTTCAGCATACCAGTGGTCTAATGCAAGGATATGAGTACTTCACCAACTAGTATAGTATGGAACTTAGATTTAAACTTAAGCCAGATACAGAACAAAAACATGCATGCAAGCAGGAGCTAGTCTATGCATCAAATTGGTCAGCCATACCTAACCTACCCACTATCCTTATTATACATTTGGAACATGGAATTTGCGTATTTATAATGCGTGAAAGATGGCTCTCACAACGTATGGAACAGCCTCAACTGTTACATTCTCAGGGCTTCTATGCTCCAGCAAGTAGGAATTGAGAAGGGCATTACTACTTATGACAACCGCATAAGTCTTTAGATGATGATAATAAGGAACTAGCTTTTGCATCCCTACAGAGGAATCCATGAATGACACTACCTTTGCAAAGTCTGAGAAGAATCATTACCTTTACCATGTCTGCTGTCGTAAGCATCCTGCTTGAACTGGTCAATCTGAACCACAAGTTACAGTGGGACTTCAAGGCTGGTGTTCAAAGCAGTTGCTCCAGAGACTGCAAAATTCACCCCATTGGCATAATTCGAGTTAATACTTTGCAAAATGGGATCCAGGAATCTATCATACTCAAAAGCCTCTGCTGCAAAAACATACACGAATAACATCAAACGCTGTTAATCAACACACACAATTACCAAAGAAGTCGACAACCACGCGACCATCAGAGTATCTCTTCGATGGCTTACTGAAGAAAGTCATGCCATAAGGCTTATACTGTGTGGCACTAATAAACGGAGCTGCTGCTTGAACATTCCCTGTATCGACAATAGAATCCCCGAACCAGAACATGGCTTTTGGACACTGGAAACCCAAGCCTGGAGCAAATAACTCAGCAATCACTAGAACTGCCGCAACTGACAAAAACTCCATGATAATCAACTGTTGAGTGAGGAGAATGTCGACTTGATGTCACTGATCGTTTCTAGAGCTGCAGAAACGATGTGATCGTTGTCTTAAAACTCGAAGATGATCTCCAAATAAGTCTCTTTATAGCCACACCTTGGTATACATGCTCTATCCCCCTCTCTCGCTAAGTCTTCTTGTCCTTCATGTTCTAGCAGGGAAACTTGACCAAGGAACAAGGTTGAGCTAATTAGTTGATTAATAATTACTTTTAAAAACATTTGTTTAAGCAGATACGGTTCTGTGCGTGTGTCTCACTGCCCTTGCTACACTCCTGACCTCCATTGATGGCTCAAATTGTAGCTCCAAATCCTTGGTTCTATGTTATTGCGGTGTGGCAATTTGAATTTTGCATCCAAAACCACACTGATGACCTCCACGAAAGGACGCCATTCTGAGCAACCTAGTCTAGATTTTGGAGGAGGTTCATGTTGAAAGCCTTTCCAGAAGCATCGTAATTGTAATTCCTGTATATATATACTCTTTAAATTTTGAATATAACATTTCCAACTTACCAGGTGAGCTGCAAAGTTCCTCTTCCGTAGTATGAGATTAATGGATAAATGCTATGTGAGTTTACTTCCAGTTTCCTTCTTCACATTTGCAAAGTAGGCAGCCAGTTCCCTCTTTTGAACATCAAGACTCCCCGATAATATCATACTGAGACAGTATTTTGCTTAGCTATTTTAAGTCGTTGTTTTAACGACAATCCCCCGCAGGTTAATTTATCACACTGGATACCTCGACCAGCTTCGAGAGTGGGATGGAACCGATGGTGGCAACAAAGCAAGTACTTAGAGTTTCCGTTCAAAACGAACGAGAAGAATGTGAGTAGACTTGGCTAGGGTTTAGGTCTGCGCCGACCTCTCTCCCTCACATGTCTCATGTGGTAATATCAGCAATGCTTTTTAGATACCAAAATTGTTTAGATATCTTACAACTTTACCCATTTTATAAGTAAGAATGATAGGCAAGATATTATTCTCGGCTTTTGCAGGCAAGTATCTGGACAAGAGAAACCATCGATCAGCGTGCTTGAATCAAAACAGGGCAAAATCCAAACCAAGATGGCAGTTGACGAGAAGTTCATTCCCGCGTATTTGCTTCCCACACACAGGGCATTCCACCCAGTCACAACAAGCTAAGCTCAGGCCTCCTTTTATTTCCAGCGAAACATCACCGCACTCCAACTCTTCCTGCAGGAAAACGATCACAGATCCACCCAAGAAATAGAAGCTCGATCACTCACCCGAGCCGGGAGTGACACATTGCGCTGCCGCTTCCCAACAAGCCGAATCAAGCTCTCACAGCCCCGGAGCATTGCTGAGATTACCGCATGGAACACCGCCGAGCTGTGTGTAGGACGCTTCCTCTTCGCAGAACTAAACCCTAGCCAAATAAAATATTTCCCTCCATTCCTTTGAATTCACTAGGGCAAAAGCTTATGATATTAAGTGCACATGATTGAATAATAAAATAGATGCCTTCAAAGTTTGGTCACCTGTATTACAGCAAACACAAAGAGATCTTCTTAGCGTGCTTCGACCAAGGGGAGAAGTTAATATCTACAAGGCATTTCAAGACTATGAAGTCAATATAAATCGCAATCTCACTCCTCAAGGCTATAAAAACAGCCCCAAAATTTCATTGCACAACCACGAGTTCTCATCCATGGCATTAGTCATGATAATGTTTATGCTATGCCTTTTAGGATTATCTCCGTTCTCTACACTAGCATCTCCCTAACTGTGTCTGTGTTTAGGAAGTTCTTCCCATCCAACATCGCAAATCCTTTCTACACATACAACGATTTCATTGCAGCAACAAAATACTATCCCACGTTTGAAAGCTCGAGGAGTCTTGATGTTCAAAAGAGGGAACTGGCTGCCTACTTTGCAAATGTGAAGCAGGAGACTGGAAGTAAACTCGCATAGTATTTATCCATTAATCTCACTAATGTCTTTGATTGTAGCACTGCAATACATTCGAGAGATCAACCGAAACAACGTCTATTGTGACACTAGTCGTGGGATCCCATGTCCTGCAGGTACAAAGGCTTACTATGGAAGAGGACCTTTGCAGCTCACCTGGTAAGCTGAAAATGTTATATTCAATATTTAAAGTGTATATATATACAGGAATTACAATTATGATGCTGCTGGAAAGGCTTTCAACATGAACCTCATCCAAAATCCAGACCAGGTTGCTCAGAATGGCGTCCTTTCGTGGAGGTCATCAGTGTGGTTTTGGATGCAAAATTCGAATTGCCACACCGCAATAACACAGAACCAAGGATTTGGAGCTACAATTCGAGCCATCAATGGAGGTCAGGAGTGTGGCAAGGGCAGTGAGACACAACCCGCACAGAACCGCATCAATTATTACAAGGACTTTTGCTCACAGTTGGGTGTTTCACCAGGTGGGAACCTTGGCTGTGCTTAAACAAATGTTTTTAAAAGTAATGAATAAGTAATTAACTACTGAGTATGTATTAATAAAAACAAATAATAAATCTGGAAATTGGTTGTTGATGATTGCAATCTTTACAGTAGCAAGAATTACTAGAGGAGAATGCTGAAAAGTCATGTATAATCGAGGAAAGCGGAAACTGCGTACTAGAAATCCAGTAGTCTCCTCCGCTCGAGACTGGGGTCGACTGTAACCCGGCGGCAGGGTCTCCGAAACCGGAAGTGTCTTCTACTCTTGAAAGCTTTGAGGAGCCCGACGTGGCCAACAGCGTCCTTCCGGCAGAGCTCAACAGTGAAACTAGAGATCTTTACAATGGCTGCCTGGAGGCAAGGATTGCTGGCCGCAAGTACAACAGAGAAGCTGGGATGCGAGTTCACCTGGTAAGGGAACCAGAAAATCCCATGGATACATACGCTGTGAAGGTAAACTTGACTGAATGGACGTGTTTCATGGCTGACAGCAACATTGCGCCAGGTGCTTACAGCGGATGGGCTTTCGCTGGGACATATTCCAAAAGAGCTTTCGCGTTATTTGTCTCCTCTCATGGAAAAAGGCGTCGTAGACGTCCAGGTAACTAATCTCTGGGGCGTTTTTCAATTGTTCACAAAGCTTTCAGGGATATGTCTCCGAGAGTACATCGGAAGCTGCACGCCTCAAGCTTGATTTGCGTGAGATCCAGAGTCGGACTATTGGAAGTCTCTCAGAAGAAAAAGTGCTGGCTGTCAAATGGAGCCATCTGATGGATGCAGCTGACAAGGGACAAGACCGCGGCTGTCGTTACCAACAGAATTTTCTCTACATGGTATTGGAACGGGATCTCCATCTCTTTACTCCAGACGAGATCGAACTTCTCGAGGCATTTCGTTCAATCTCGTCTGATGGACAGCGCCTTTTTGTAAGATTGGCTCAACGAAAGGGTAAGCTCGACGCCGTCGCACAAACTGTGACTCAAGGGAGACAGTGGTTTTGCAGGGCCATGGTTCCGTCTTCAGAACATGAAGATATTGGTGACACAAATTCTGCAGTCCATGATTTAGTCGGTACTCAATTTCTTTCATCGTGTACTTCATAATATGTTTGCTCCTGGAAGGATCAAGTATCCAAGCTATAGGTGCGCTAGAACAATGCTTCTCGAGAGGACTTTCTGGCGTATGAGCAGGTCCGTTCCTACTTTGTTATAAAATTTGTCTGATCGTCAAGTTTTCAGGCATTGCAATTGGCTCAGGTGTTGACCTGGAAGCTGGTAATTCTGAGGCTGTAAACTCCTCTTTTCGAAAAGCAAGGACTACACTCGAATTGATCAATGCACACACCGAGATCAAGCATCCATTTTTAGCACGGTTTTCGGCTGCATGGGTGTATGCAACAATCTGTACTGTGGCTGCATCGTTTCTGGAGAAAGAATGCCGGTACGCTCTTTCACCAATGGCGGACAATACTTTTGAACGAAAGCTGGCTCTTGACCAGATACGCTGAAGCTGTAAACCTCTTCAAGCAGCTCCTTAGCATGCAGTATTGTCCTGGACGGAGAGGATACTGGACTCTCCGGCTATCTATTGACTTGGAGCACTTACAGCGTTTAGAAGAGAGCCTGCTCGTTGCAGAAAACGGATTAAATGATTTCAACGTCCGAGGAGGGGATCGTATCGCTTTGCAACGGAGGGTTCTCGGACTAGGAAACCCTCCTAGAAGGTGGAAAGTACCTCCATATGCAGCGCTTTTAAAGACAAAACACAAGGTGGTACGTACTGTGTCTTCCAGATATTTGGCCTTCAGCTACAACTCTGTTTTTGAAGGTGACGATTACGGGAAGGCCGCTAAACAATGCCAGTGGAATGAAGAGCAGATTTTATGGCTACAATGGGCAACAATGCAGTGTGGAGGACCTGGCACTTCAATACTATGCCGGAGAAGATGGAGGCGGCTGGAAAGGAGCTAGTAGCTCAAGGCTGCAAACACGACAAGGATGTCGTGTTTGCAGATGAAAAGTTCTATGAAATGTTTTTTTTCTGTGTGCGTACGGTTGAGGTGTATTGGGAGGGCGAGGAGGAAGCGGCCGGTGGCATTACAATGCTCCAGGGCCGCGAGAGCTTGATTCGGTGTAGGGAAGCGGCAACGCAGTGTGTCACTCCAGGACGCTCCGCCAGCTCAGGTGAGTGATCGAGCTTGTAATCGTTTTCTTGCAGTGCTGTGATGTCAAACAGCTTAGCTTGTTGTGACTGCCCTGTGTGTGGGAAGCAAACGCGGGAATGAACTTCTTGTCAGGTGCCATCTTGGTTTGGAGTTTGCTCTGTTTTGATCCAAGCAGGTTGATCGATGGTTTGTCTTGTCCAGATACTTGCCTGCAAAGTGGGAAGAAAAGACGAACAATGTCCAGGATACACTCGTTCCAGATGTCTTCCAGACACACTTCAGGTTCTTGTTCAGGTTCTTGTTTCATTTTCTTGTGGGCTTCTTCTGCTCTTCTTGTTTGCGCTTTGCAAGAGGCTCTTTGTGTTGGAAAATCCTTGTTTTGTGTTATTTCGCAGAGACTGCACCATTGGACTTGTGCATGCATTTGTTTCTATCCAGTCCGAAGCTCGCTTATTGAATCTCGCCTTCAAGCCATACGCGATGGTGGAGCTAGGCAACTCGTCGTGGAAGCACTATGGGAGGGTTAACTGGGAGAATGAAGAATTACGAGATTGTGTGTGATTCATAAGCTTCTTGCAGAAGACCACAGTACTGGTTGATGTGGAAGGAGAAAGGGGCAAAGCTAGTCGAAGCCAAGGGTCCGGGAGATTGCTTGTCCGAGCAACAGGTGGCCTGGTTTGTTATTCTCATGCCATAAAGTCATGCCATAAGGCTTATACTCTGCAGCACTAATAAACGGAGCTGCTGCCTGAACATTCTCTGTATCGACAGTAGAATCCCCGAACCAGAACATGGCTTTTGGACACTGGAAACCCAAGCCTGGAGCAAATAACTCAGCAATCACTAGAACTGCCGCAATTGACAAGAACTCCATGATAATCAACTGTTGAGCGAGCAGAATGTCGACTTGATGTCGCTGATCGTTTCTAGAGCTGCAGAAACGATGTGATCGGTGTCTTAAAATGTGAAGATGATCTCCAAATAAGTCTCTTTATTGCCACACCTTGGTATACATGCTCTATCCCCCTCTCTCGCTAAGTCTTCTTGTCCTTCATGTTCTAGCAGGGAAACTTGACCAAGGAACAGCTTTAGGGAGGTTGAACTAATTAGTTGATTAATAATTACTTTTAAAAACATTTGTTTAAGCAGATACGGTTCTGTGCGTGTGTCTCACTGCCCTTGCCACACTCCTAACCTCCATTGATGGCTCGAATTGTAGCTCCAAATCCTTGGTTCTATGTGTGGCAATTCGAATTTTGCATCCAAAACCCCACTGATGACCTCCACGAAAGGATGCCATTCTGAGCAACCTGGTCTAGATTTTGGAGGAGGTTCATGTTGAAAGCCTTTCCAGAAGCATCGTAATTGTAATTCCTGTATATATATACTCTTTAAATTTTGAATATAACATTTCCAACTTACCAGGTGAGCTGCAAAGTTCCTCTTCCGTAGTATGAGATTGATAAATGCTATGTGACTTTACTTCCAGTTTCCTTCTTCACATTTGCAAGGTAGGCAGCCAGTTCCCTCTTTTGAACATCAAGACTCCCCGATAATACCATACTAAGACAGTATTTTGCTTAGCTATTTTAAGTCGTTGTTTTAACGACAATCCCCCGCAGGTTAATTTATCACACTGGATACCTCGACCAGCTTCGAGAGTGGGATGGAACCGATGGTGGCAACAAAGCAAGTACTTAGAGTTTGCGTTTAAAACGAACGAGAAGAATGTGAGCTAGGGTTTAGGTCTGCGCTTCTCATGTGGTAATATCAGCAATGCTTTTTAGATACCAAAATTGTTTAGATATCCATCATCTTACAACTTTACCCATTTTATAAGTAGACTGATAGGCAAGATATTATTATCGGCTTTATTATACCTTTTCAGCATTCTCCTCTAGTAATTCTTGCTATTGTAAAGATTGCAATCATCACCAACAAATTTCCAGATTTATTATTATTTTTATTAATACATCCTCGTAGTTAATTACTTATTCATTACTTTAAAAACATTTCTTTAAGCACAGCCAAGGTTCCCACCTGGTGAAACACCCAACTGTGAGCAAAAGTCCTTGTAATAATTAATGCGGTTCTGTGCGGGTTGTGTCTCACTGCCCTTGCCACACTCCTGACCTCCATTGATGGCTCGAATTGTAGCTCCAAATCCTTGGTTCTGTGTTATTGCGGTGTGGCAATTCGAATTTTGCATCCAAAACCACACTGATGACCTCCACGAAAGGACGCCATTCTGAGCAACCTGGTCTGGATTTTGGAGGAGGTTCATGTTGAAAGCCTTTCCAGCAGCATCGTAATTGTAATTCCTGTATATATACACTTTAAATATTGAATATAACATTTTCAGCTTACCAGGTGAGCTGCAAAGGTCCTCTTCCATAGTAAGCCTTTGTACCTGCAGGACATGGGATCCCACGGCTAGTGTCACAATAGACGTTGTTTCGGTTGATCTCTCGAATGTATTGCAGTGCTACAATCAAAGACATTAGTGAGATTAATGGATAAATACTAAGCGAGTTTACTTCCAGTCTCCTGCTTCACATTTGCAAAGTAGGCAGCCAGTTCCCTCTTTTGAACATCAAGACTCCCCGTGCTTCCAAACGTGGGATAGTATTTTGTTGCCGCAATGAAATCGTTGTATGTGTAGAAAGGATTCGCGATGTTGGATGGGAAGAACTTCCTAAACACAGGCTCAGTTATAATACTGGAGGGAGATGCTAGTGTAGAGAACAGAGAAAATCCTAGGAGGCATAGCATAAACATTATCATGACTAATGCCATGGTACTTAAATTAATAGTATGAGAACTCGTGGTTGTGCAATGGAATTTTGGGGCTGTTTTTATAGCCTTGAGGAGGGGAGAAGTTAATATCTACACGGCATTTCAAGACTATGAAGTCAATATAAATCGCAATCCCACCTTGGTCGAAGCACGCTAAGAATGTTCGCTTGTAATACAGGTGACCAAACTTTGAAGGCCTCTATTTTATAATTCAATCGTAATATCATAAGCTTTTGCCCTAGTGAATTCAAAGGAATGGAGGGAAATATTTTATTTGGCTAGGGTTTAGGTCTGCGAAGAGGAAGCGTCCTACACACAGCTCGGCGGTGTTCCATGCGGTAATCTCAGCAATGCTCCGGGGCCGTGAGAGCTTGATTCGGCTTGTTGGGAAGCGGCAGCGCAATGTGTCACTCCCGGCTCGGGTGAGTGATCGAGCTTCTATTTCTTCGGTGGATCTGTGATTGTTTTCCTGCAGGATGAGTTGGAGTGCGGTGATTTTTCGCTGGAAATAAAAGGAGGCCTGAGCTTAGCTTGTTGTGACTGGGTGGAATGCCCTGTGTGTGGGAAGCAAATACGCGGGAATGAACTTCTCGTCAACTGCCATCTTGGTTTGGATTTTGCTCTGTTTTGATTCAAGCACGCTGATCGATGGTTTCTCTTGTTCAGATACTTGCCTGCAAAGTGGGAAGAAAAAGAAGAACAGTGTCCAGCATACACTCTTTCACTTCAACTTGTCGAAAAAGATAGAGTACGAGGAAAGCGGAAACTGCGTACTAGAAATCCAGCAGTCTCCTCCGCTCGAGACTGGGGTCGACTGTAACACGGCGGCAGGGTCTCCGAAACCGGAAGTTTCTTCTACTCTTGAATGCTTTGAGGAGCCCGACGTGTCCTTCCGGCAGAGCTCAACAGTGAAACTAGAGATCTTTACAATGGCCGACGTGGCCAACAGCGTCCTTCCGGCAGAGCTCAACAGTGAAACTAGAGATCTTTACAATGGCTGCCTGGAGGCAAGGATTGCTGGCCGCAAGTACCACAGAGACGTCGAGTGCCAAGCTGGGATGCGAGTTCACCTGGTAAGGGAACCAGAAAATCCCATGGATACATACGCTGTGAAGGTAAACTTGACTGAATGGACGTGTTTCATGGCTGACAACAACGTTGCGCCAGGTGCTTACAGCGGATGGGCTTTCGCTGGGACATATTCCAAAAGAGCTTTCGCGTTATTTGTCTCCTCTCATGGACAAAGCCGTGGTAGATGTTCAGGTAACTAATCTCTGGGGCGTTTTTCAATTGTTCACAAAGCGTTCAGGGATATGTCTCCGAGAGTACATCGGAAGCTGCACGCCTCAAGCTTGATTTGCGTGAGATCCAGAGTCGGACTATTGGAAGTCTCTCAGAAGAAAAAGTGCTGGCTGTCAAATGGAGCTGTCTAATGGATGCAGCTGACAAGGGACAAGACCACGGCTGTCGATACCAACAGAATTTTCTCTACATGCTCCAAGTGGTATTGGAACGGGATCTCCATCTCTTTACTCCAGACGAGATCGAACTTCTCGAGGCATTTCGTTCAATCTCGTCTGATGGACAGCGCCTTTTTGTAAGATTGGCTCAACGAAAGGGTAAGCTCGACGCCGTCGCACAAACTGTGACTCAAGGGAGACAGTGGTTTTGCAGGGCCATGGTTCCGTCTTCAGAACATCTTCTATGAAGATATTGGTGACACAAATTCTGCAGTCCATGAGTTAGTCGGTACTCAATTTCTTTCATCGTGGACTTCATAATATGTTTGCTCCCTTGTAACAGAGAGACGCTACTTAGTTTTCGACGCGGACGTCAATTCGTCTGAGTTGCTTGAACATCTGACTGTACAAGAGCTCAAAGATTTGGCAGTGAACAGCAAAATCATGGTAGTTACTTCTAAGACTTTCTTCCTTGTTTTTATTTCTGTTCCTGCTTACAGATCAAAAGTGCTACGCTAAGTTTGAAAAAGCTTCAGCTTATTACAGCAACTCGAGATGCATTGATTTCGCTGCATTTGTAAGTAGCAAGTGATCATTGGTTTTTTATACAAGCGTGAAATACTTGGCGGCAGTAATCTAACGGCTTTAATTCGTGAAGCAACCGGGCCATGCATTCGAATAGCCGAAACAGTTGACGTTCTACTTTGGCGTTTACAGGTCAGTTGACATCCTCTCCAAAGTGTTACACTGCTGATGCTGAGCAATTTATTTATTTTTATTCAGAGGTTGTTCTTTCTAAACGGTGAGCAGGAGTTCCATGTTTTTCTTCTTGTGGATATTGGAAGGATCAAGTATCCAAGCTATAGGTGCGCTAGAACAATGCCAGTCTTCGCTTCTCGAGAGGACTTTCTGGCGTATGAGCAGGTCCGTTCCTACTTTGTTATAAAATTTGTCTGACCGTCAAGTTTTCAGGCATTGCAATTGGCTCAGGTGGTTGACATGTCCCTGGAGGCTGGTAATTCTGAGGCTCTAAACTCCTCTTTTCGAAAAGCAAGGACTACTCTCGAATTGATCAATGCACACACCGAGAGCAAGCATCCATTTTTAGCACGATTTTCGGCTGCATGGGTGTATGCAACAATCTGTACTGTGGCTGCATCGTTTCTGGAGAAAGAACGCAGGTACGCTCTTTCACCAATGGCGGACAATACTTTTGAACTAAAACTGGCTCTTGACCAGATACGCTGAAGCTGTAAACCTCTTCAAGCAGCTCCTTAGCATGCAGTATTGTCCTGGACGGAGAGGATACTGGACTCTCCGGCTATCTATTGACTTGGAGCACTTACAGCGTTTAGAAGAGAGCCTGCTCGTTGCAGAAAACGGATTAAACGATTTCAACGTCCGAGGAGGGGATCGTATCGCTTTGCAACGGAGGGTTCTCCGACTAGGAAAACCTCCTAGAAGGTGGAAAGTACCTCCATATGCAGCGCTTTTAAAGAAAAAACACAAGGTGGTACGTACTGTGTCTTCCAGATATTTGGCCTTCAGCTACAACTCTGTTTCTGAAGGTGACGATTATGGGAAGGCCGCTAAACAATGCCAATGGAATGAAGAGCAGATTTTATGGCTACGATGGGCAACAATGCAGTGTGGAGGACCTGGCACTTCAATACTATGCCGGAGAAGATGGAGGCGGCTGGAAAGGAGTCCATTCAGAAAGTGGCATATGGCTGACATTGTTCGGGCTGCTCATGTGGGATGTTATCTTTTCAGACGTTCCAGATGTCTTCCAGACACCTTTTCAGGTTCTTGTTTCATTTTCTCGTGGTTGCTCTACAGTTCTTGTTTGCAGACTGCACCATTGGACTTGTGCACGGATTCATTCTATCCAGTCCGAAGCTCGCTTATTGAATCTCGTCTTCAAGCCATACGCGATGGTGGAGCTAGGCAACTCGTGGCGGAGACTTGGGAAGAGCACTACGGGACATCATGTAGCGGGGTAAACTGGAAGAAGTACTCGCTTGAAGACCTTCAAACGATAACGGTCTGTATCGGAGGTCCAGGATTGTCGGCGATTTGCAACCTTCTTGCAGAAGACCACAGTAACTGGACGGCTGGAATGCCTGATCTTCTGCTGTGGAAGGAGAAAGAGGCAAAGCTGGCGGAAGTCAAGGGTCCAGGGGATCGCTTGTCCGAGCAACAGGTGGCCTGGTTTCTTATTCTCTCGGACGCTAATGTTCCTGTGGAACTTTGCAAGGTCTCCAAGACGATGAATGATCGATCCTAGATCGGCTACTCCGAGTAGTGCCGGGCCCGAGACGGCTGCGCAGGCCTCTGCAACTTGCTCCGCCTTGCTTGAAGTCATAAGAACCGGTAAGCAACTCCGCCATTCCATCCCGCTGTGGACTGCGAAGAATCCATTGCGCGCTACACACAGCCAGTTCCAAGTCCTCAGTGTCACCGTCTCAAGAGCTCTTCGATCGGGACCGCGAGGTGATAGAATCACCACCGTCATCTTAAAGATCCTCTTGGCGGAGGATCAGGAAATGCGAGTTCCAAAGAGATGAATCACGAGGGATTCCATGCACCTTAAAGAACATCCCCCGCGACTCTGATGAGTATCCTATCGAACAATGCAGTTGCTTGCTCCATATCCCCATTGTGGGCATGGAGTCCGTTGGGAGAACACGTAGAGACTAACCCATCATCGCACTGGGGCATCCCAAAGAAGATTTGGCTGGCGTGATGCATGTCTCGGCCGAAGAGCTCGTTGCGGCATTTGCCTCGTCATGATGCCCAATCGGGGCATATGTGCTCACTATTGTCGTCCAGGTCACCACGTCCTGGCTTTCCTCGCATCAGCAACGCGATTTTCTTTGCATAGAACCCGTAATAGGATGTTCCGAGAAGTGGAAAACCTTGATCGCCTCGTCAAGATGCCCAAAGTGGGCATATGTGATAGCAGAATGTGCATTGCCGGTACTTGCTCGCCAGGATGAGCCCAACACGGGAGGATTCGAGTGCAGGGCTCTGGGTCCCAAGCTCTATCTCCTTGCAATTCGGTGAGCGTCTTCGATGCACGCAAGAATCGATGGAGCTTCGCAGCACCAATGCTGCGTTCTCCACCGCAGGAAACGAAATCTTTTCACAACCAGGTGATCTTGAGCTCGCCCGGTGGTGCCGGACAGACGCTTGTTTTCGCAGCCCAAGATCTTTCCTGGGAAGCGGCGACTGGCCGGCGCCACTACTTTGTGCACCTATGGAACGACATGGCCGGATCATTGTATTGGAGGCAAGAAGTTATGGGAGGAGCTGCAGCTGACGACCGCTTCTTCCACCGATCACAAGTTTTTCTTCCGCGCTGTGAGCTGCCAGAAGAACATCTGGGCAGTCTCGGCGAATTGCAAGGCTGTGACGTTGATCTGGCTTGGAAGCCAAGCATCCGGCGTCAATCCCATAAGCTTCGCCGTTCAGATTCTTCGAGCTTAGATGAGCTACTAGCTAAAGATGAATAAGTTATCTACAAGGATGTCGTGTTTGCAGATGAAAAGTTCTATGAAATGGTTTTTTTCTGTGTGCGTACGGTTGAGGTCTATTGGGAGAGCGAGGAGGAAGCGGCCGGTGGCATTACAATGCTCCAGGGCCGCTAGAGCTTGATTCGGGTTGTAGGGAAGTGGCAACGCAGTGTGTCACTCCAGGACGCTCCGCCAGCTCAGGTGAGTGATCGAGCTTGTAATCGTTTTCTTGCAGTGCTGTGATGTCAAACAGCTTAGCTTGTTGTGACTGCCCTGTGTGTGGGAAGCAAACGCGGGAATGAACTTCTTGTCAGGTGCCATCTTGGTTTGGAGTTTGCTCTGTTTTGATTCAAGCAGGTTGATCGATGGTTTGTCTTGTCCAGATACTTGCCTGCCAAGTGGGAAGAAAAACTCGTTCCAGATGTCTTCCAGACACACTTCAGGTTCTTGTTTCATTTTCCTGTGGACTTCTTCTGCTCTTCTTGTTTGCGCGTTGCAAGAGGCTCTTTGTGTTGAAAAAACCTTGTTTTGTGCTATTTCGCAGAGACTGCACCATTGGACTTGTGCATGGATTTCTTTCTATCCAGTCCGAAGCTCGCTTACTGAATCTCCTTTTCAAGCCATATGCGATGGTGGAGCTAGGCAACTCGTCGTGGAAGCACTCTGGGAGGGTTAATTGGGAGAATGAAGACCTCCAAACAATTACGGGATTGTTAGTGATTCATATGTTTCTTGCAGAAGACTGAGGAGAAAGGGGCAAAGCTGGTCGAAGCCAAGGGTCCGGGAGATTGCTTGTCCGATCTTATTCTCTCGGATGCCAGGCTGGCATGCTATGCATGAGCTCCTCAGCCTTCTCCAGCCCTGCAGACTTGGTGAGAACGTCCACAAGGCAATGCTTGAGATAGAATCACTCACTTGTAGCGCTATGCCTCATCAGAACATTGCTCGAAGGATTGCATTCCAAGGAATCTCGAGGGGATTCCATGCATGCTAAAGATATCTGGCGCTTCTCTCGTCCTTGATGAGTATCCTACCAAACAATGCAGTCCTTGCTCCATATCCCCATTGTGGGCATCGCGGCGTTGGTAGAACACGTAGAGACTAAACCGTCATCGCACTGGGGCATCCTAAAGAAGACCTGGCTGTCGTGATGCATGTCTCGCCCCCGAAGAGGCAGTGATCATCATAGCGACTACGCCCCGGCAAGCGACAAATTCCTCAGCCAGCGACGCCAAGGAAAAAGAAACGTTGCCTCGTCAAGATGCCCAACCGGGGCATATCCCTGCTCTGCGTATAAAGGGCTGCTTGGATCTGGAGTTAGGGCAAATAGAGCTGGGCTATGGCGACGACAATCATCCCCGGCCTGGACAGCGATGCCGCTTACCAGTGCCTCCTGCGAGTGTCCCTCTCATCTCATGGGCAGATGCGCAAGGTGAGCCGAGCGTGGAGGGATCTCGTCTCCAGCGCCAAGTTCTACGATGATCGCGCTGCACAGGGGTTGGACGAGGAATGGCTTGTCGCCACGGTGATCCTCAGGCAAGAGGACGAGCTTTTGATCATGGCGTTCAATCCCAGTAGCTCCAAGAAAGCGTGGATGGTTCTTCCTCCTCCACCGCGGGGCTTCTACGCCGCTGGGGGATTCGATTGCAGGGCCCTCGGCAGCAAGCTCTATCTTCTCGGATTAGGCGGGAAATCACTGAGCGTCTTCGATTCACACACGAATCGATGGAGCGCCGCAGCGCCAATGCTGTGTCCTCGATTCTCCTTTGCGTCCGCGGCTATGGAGGGTCAGCTCTACGTCGTTGGTGGCAACCGTGAGCGGCAGGAACAGGACGCTGAGACATACAATCCGCTGGAGGACCGATGGTATCCCCTCCCGCCATTGCCACCGCATGGGACCATGGCCTTTCGCAACGCTCTCGTCGTGGATGGTAACAAGATGGTTATCTTGCGCGCTGTTAATGGAGAGACGCTTGTTTTCTCAGCACAAGATCATTCCTGGGAAGTGGCGGACATGACTAGATTGCGCGGGTGCCGGTGTATTGTGCATGGCAACCGGATCTACGATGCCAACACGTTGCAGAGATATGACAGTGGCAACAACTCGTGGGAGGCACTCCAGCTGACGAACGCTTCTTCCAGCGATAGCAAGTCTGTGTTCCATGGTGTGAGCTGCCAGAAGAACATCTGGGCAGTCAAGGAGGATTGCAAGGTCGTGAAAGTGATCCAAGTTCCCAACGATGGCAGCCTGGAAGCCAAGGTGATGGCAGTTTATGAGCTCAGCGTGCCTTTCAGCAACTTATATCCAACATTCGACCTTGAAGTTCTTCGAGCTTGATGATTCTTGGATCAGCTACTAGCTAAAGAAAAGTTTTTTACATGGATCTCCATGTTGTAAAAAGATAGTTTTATTTCATTTAAGGCAGCATTACAATGTTGTAGGGAAGTAGTAGAGCATTGTGTTTATGTCACTCCAAGATGTTGATGTGAGTTATTTTTTGGGTGAATTTTGTTTGTTGGAGTGTTTAAAAGTAGCTTGTGAGCCCTGTGGGATGTGGGAATTGGGGATAGTCTAAAATTGAGTTAAATGTGGGAATTGGGGATAGTCCAAAATTGAGCCAAGTTTACAAGTTTGAGTTGAATTCAATTCAAATCAATGCAAATAAATATAGTTAATTATAAGTTTTATAAAGAAATTTCATGTCAGAAAAATGTTATCCTTTGTGAACTTAAAATTTATGAAAATGGTTTGGAGAAATTTATATATTTTGATACTATTAAGGAGAATTTTTTTTATACAATAAAATATTGACGAAGTAGTCCAAACCCATATACATTCACAATATTCTAGTTAAAGAGACTTTTTAGCTCAAATAAAAATGGGAATATTGAAGTTCACTACAAACTTGAAAATTTATATTATATATTTTGACATCTCAATAAATTAACCTTTCAACATTTTGATATTTCAATATTTTGACATTTCAATAATTGACAGGGAGACAAAAAATTTGTGAATAATTATAATATAAAGAAATGTGAAAATATTAAAAAAAATTACTACTAAAATTTCATATTACACTTTTGGTCTTTATTACTCATCTGGGAATGTAAAGACCATTATCACTATTAATAAAAATACTCCTATTACTTTTAAAATAATAGTATGGTAGAAAAAAGAAGAAATAAATCTATTAAAAATAGCCTTATCTACCATTTTAAGGATATATGTCCTCATCTGTACTTGTTGTTATATAGTCATCGATTCCAATCTCAAATTTTTGAACACCATCCTTATAAAAATAATATTATGACTCCTTTATTGTTTAAGAGTTTCTATCATTCTTGTGATCTCAATTATAGTTGTTTGTTACAATTACATTAGCTAGTTTGCTAAGTAAAATATTTATATGGATCACATCTTTGAGGGAAACCTTTTAATATTCCCAAAATCCTAAAGTCATTTTCTCACTAGCCCCTTTCTATTTACTATATTGTTTACATATTCACATATGAACTCAAGTGGAGAGTCATGCCCTCTGGATATGTTACTCCTCAAGGATAAACCCATGTCTCCTTCAACTCTTGCTTGTCGAAATACCTCATTAGTGCTTTGGTTATCTTAAATAAACTTTATAGTCTTTGGTTCACTCAATTGTTACACCATTAGTTTAGCTTACCGGATTATATTTGTAGCCACAAAATTATCTAAAGCACCTGTGTTAATAAGAATTTTAACAAAATTACATTCAAGCTTCTTTGAGAGGGCTAGTAAATGTTGCGAACGATTCTTTACCAAAGTTGCTCATGTAATGAGTAACTTTAAACTAAGGACTATATCATGTACCTTAATTTAGATTTCACCTAATTTATTGACCACATTGACTCTGGCCTTTTTTAGGTAAGGACATTCTCTTGAAAAATGTCATACTTCACCGTAGTTGAAGCATATGTTATTTCCCATGCTACTAACAGACTTGGCTTTTTTATTAGTGGGTTTATCCCTTTTCGCTTGACTCCCCCACGTACTTGCTCACTAGCCATTGAATTTGCCTTTCTGAAACCCTAAGGATTCATTGTTAGATAAACTTTTCTTGAATTTCCCGTTGCCATATATCCTCCTTGGTTTAGCTCCTTTGCTAAACATGGACCTTAACCCTATTATTCCCTTTTCACAAGTTATAATTGAAATGCAACTTAATAGCTATATCCAATACTTTTTTGTAGTTGGTTAGGTTCCAATGCATCACCTCGTCTTGACCCTAGGTCTTCAAATCTGATATGAAGGCATGGAAGGGATCCTCTTCACCATGAATGCATTCTTATACTCTTGAATGGTTTTTATCTACTTCAGCTTACTCAACTTATCCCTTAGATGTAGAGTAGCATTTGGAAGAACATAAGTTACACAAATCCTTGCTTTCATCATTTCCCAAATGGCCACCAGTTTTTCATTAGCCTCCATTGTTCTCCACTAAAATATAGTATTATCTACCAAGTATGGTTTTGCATATGGGACCCTTTTCGAGCTCAGTAACTGCAATGCTTGGAAGTAATCCTCTATATCATAAAATTAATCCTCCAGCATTTTATAGTCATTCACTTCCTTGAATACTAATAGGGGCTTTGGTTTGTACTTGGGAACTATTTGAAGGATTAATTCCACTTAGGTTTGTTTGACCTTGACTTCAAGACAAAAGCAATCAATCTTCTTGATAAGTGCAAAGATGTTTTCACTTAATCATATACAGATTTGCGAGGAATTCCTCTTGAGATCTACATACACTGAATTGCTACCTCAAACTATACCAAGAAAGCAAGCAGCCTATCAAATAAACCCCAACATACAAATGAAAGTTAAAGAAGAATTTGACAAACTTGAGAATGCCAGCTTTATCTACCCAATTTAAAACCCGGAATGGCTATCACCACATGTCATTATTCTCAAGAAAAGTGGCAAACTCAAAGTTTATGTCAACTACAAAAATTTCAATGATGCAACCCAAAAAAACACATTCCTAAATTCTATTCTCTGATGAAATTCTCAACGTAGTAGTTGGATACAAAATGTATTCACTTCTTGATGGCTTTAGTGGCTACAATCAAGTTTATATTATACCTGAAGATCAGCACAAGACAGCCTTCATCAGTCCTTGGGGTGCTTATTTATATCTACAAATGCTTTTTTGTATTTCTAAAGCATTATTTACTTTTCAAAGAATCATCACTAACACATTTCGAGATATTGACTTCATGTGAGGTTTTATGGATGACTTCAACATCTTTAGTAGCAAAGAACAACATCTCCAACATCTCGAGAAATGCTCAATCAAATGTCGAGAGAACAACATTGCCTTAAACCCCGAGAAATCTACCTTCTTCATCAAATCAAGCATCCTACTTGAACATATTGTCTGCAAAGAAGACATTCTTATCGACAAAGCCAAGACACTTGCCATCATCAACATACAACATCCAACAAACATCACCAAACTACGATCCTTCCTTGACAAAGTGGGATACCATCGATGCTTCATCAAAGATTATGTGAAGATTGCAAAACCCCTCACAGAGCTTTTGAAGAAAAATCATATCTACAACTAGACTCAAGACTATCAACAAGCATTTGACATGCTCAAGAATTCCTTAACAAGAGCTCCAATACTTGCCCAACCAAACTGGTATAAAGACTTCAATACACAAGTTGATGCCTCCGATTACGCCATTGGAACAATACTTTCTCAATAACAACAAAATCTCAAAGACTGACCAATCTACTATGCTAGTCAAAGACTCAACTCAGCTGAGATGAACTACACCACCATTGAAAAAGAAGCTTTAAGAATGGTTTATGCATTACAAAAGTTTCAACATTACCTACTCGGTACCAAAGTTAAGATCATGTGTGACCACAAAGCACTTTTACACCTCTTCAATAAAACTATCCTCATGGGTACAATTTCCCAATGGTTCTTACTATTTCAAAAATACAACTTCGAGATTATTCACAAACTAGACAAATAATATGAACAAGTTGACCACCTTAGCCACATTACAACAGGTGAACAATCAAAATATAACATAGATGACTTTCTTGATTTTAACATACTTCACATGCACACATCACCAACATAGACAAATAACATCTACTACTATCTCACAACATCAACAATACCAAGTTGATACTCCACCTCTAATCACCGTAAACAATTTGTCTTGAGGACAAATCCATATTCAATTGTGGGAGGAAGATTATACAAAAAAGGACGAGACAACATATTATGAAGATGTACAAACTGAAAAAACTCAAGATCTACTCAAAGAAGCCCATTATAAACAAGCAAGAGGCCACTTCACAAAAGAAATCACAGCTCACAAGATTTTGTAAGCAAAATGGCACGACTTAGCAAAATTTTATCAAGAATGTGACATTTGTCAGCAAACCAAGGATGCACTAGAAACAAATTCAAAAGCTTCATCCAACAACACCACTGGAACCATTTCAATGATGGGGACTTGACTTCATTGGACCATTAGTAACAAGCTCCAAGCAAAACAAACACATCCTCATAGCAACTAACTATATGACAAAATGGGCCGAAGCTCAACTAATGAAAATTGCAATAACAAAAAACATAGCAAAGTTCATCTACGAAAATACCATCACAAGATATAGCTTGCTTCGAGAACTTGTCACAGATTGAGAACACACTTCATCAATGAAACCATCAAGATTCTAACTTAAGAATTTATGATCAAGCACAAGGCTTCAACACCGTACTACCCTCAAGGCAATAGTCAAGTAGAGTCTACAAACAAGACACTCAAGAACATCCCAAAAAAATTGTGAAGACAAATCAAGAAGACCAGGATGTAAGGAATCGACTCCCCGAGGTGTCGTAGGCTAAAGGATCCCCAAAAGCATGACCAAAATGACAAAGAGTGCACCCCCTTTTCCAATCGGTTAAGGGTCTTGGGATAGTTGGAGTTAAGCGTTCTTAGGTTTGAATAGTACTGGGCTGGGTGACCTCCCGGGAAGTCCAAACTCAGGAGCTTACATTTGGTATCAGAGGGGTCTCAGGTCCGACTCTGTTGGTTGGCTAGGGGAATCACACCACATGTTGATTGACATCTGGCTGGTTCAGTTTGCTCCCGCTGGGCTCGACCCGAGGGGTAGGGTGTCAAGAGAACGGGGCTCTCGGGAGAGCTACAGCTCTCAGCTTCCGTTCACGAGGGCGTGAACTTGCAGGGAAGCGTGGTGGATTGTAAGCAACAAAAGGGAACGACTCGAGAGACGATCTGTTGGGGTTCAAATATAGAGGGAAAGGGCTTATGAACAAGAGTGCACCCCCTTTTCCAATCGGTTAAGGGTCTTGGGATATTTGGGGTTAAGCGTCCTTGGGTTTGAATAGTACTAGGCTGGGTGACCTCCCG